GGCCAAAAGTAGTTTTAATGTTATCATTTGCTAAGTAGTTTAAAGCTCTTCATAAAATATTTTTTCTTTTGTGAATGTAAAGGTGATTTCTAAGGAAATCTGTGAAGAAATGTATATTACTTAGTAATGACTGGGAAAATTATTTCCTTGTGATTGTCTGGTAGCATGCAAATTTATCATTAATTTTTAGTTTCCACTCAATGCGCACAAATTAATGCGCACGCGTTCATTTGTTTCTCAGTCAATCCTCTCAACCCAAGAAGAGGGTATCAATGAGGTTAATTGTCAAATGGCCCAAAAGCCATCCGTCAAACGTCAAAAACGCAATATTTTTACCGTCAACCGTCAGTAAGCAAGTTATTATTAGTCGCCAAATGCTCCAGGTATCCTTAATTAAGAACTAAACGATTGCTGACTTAAATGGGGTCAAGTTGTGCTGTTTATAAATGATTGTTTTAATATATCACAAAAATACATTTATATGCAAGTCCTTTTTAAAGTCCTTTTTAAACTTCCAGTCTCGCGAGCAGGTGATTAATACGTCCAGCGGTAACAAAGGTGAAGTAATTACGCTAAATATACATATCTGAAGACCAAAAGCCTTATTTTTAATGCACCAATTATACTAATAATTCGATTCTTCACATAGGGGCAAAATTTTATTCTTTTCTGAAAAATTACAACCACATTTGCGCTTTAATTTCGTTCTATTAACCTCATTCCGACAAATCAGTTAACCATAAGCCGTCAAATGACCTAAGACTTAACCGTCAACTATCAAAACGGCTTATTACTCGGGCTTCCCTTGGAAAGGCCGAGTCATAAGATGCAAACCGTTCTTCTTCGTCGTCGTATTTGGTCGCCAAATGGAGGGTCATAGTCCCAGGCGTTCCTTGCGTAGAGCGTGGAAACTGGGGATGAGAATGCGACAGTAGTCACTTGCAGGGATAGGAAAAAAGAACTTCAATACGTTCTCCTGAAAAGAGAGTGATACATTATTAACGTGGTGAGTAGTCAATACCATCATTGGCTAAAAATTGAGCTAGGTTCTTTGTTTCTATTCTATTCCTTTGCTCTAATTTTCACTCAGGGAGTGTTTTGTTGCTTTTTTATTTAAATATTGAAGATTCACGCATTTGCAGAAAGCAGCTGGCCAGGTCAAACTCCAACACCATAGTCTAATTTTACTCAGCAGTGCTTTCGATCAGGTCAACATCTATCCTCTAAAAGGGTTGCTCCTCAACACGGACGAATCCGATGCATCAATAAATATCTTCTTTTTAATGGAGTTATTTAAAATACTGATCCCTTTATTCAAAAAAAATATTAATTTAACTCATCGGTCGAGAAATCACATTTTTAGCTGCGAGTTGGTTTTAGAAACATCCCAATTTAACAATCAGCCCGAACATTTATCTCCGTCGAGGTAACACATTGATCTTTTCATCCTTGTGTCTTTTGTGTAGTCAGACTAAAATACTCCTGTAGATTGAACTGAAATGACGAATTTTATAAACACCCATTCCTCCATTTACTTTATTAACAAACATAGTTAATGCTATCCACTCATTTTTTCACAAAGGTCCAGGAAGTTTCTAGTTTTTCAAGTGATTTTTGTGTTTAGGAAAGTGCACAATTTCTTCACATTTCCTCGACGGAAATTGACCCATTATCGACGTAGTCAAGACTTAAGACTAACATTGGCTGAAATGTTGGGTTCTTGGTTTCTGTTTATTTCTACCAGATGTCTCTCTTTTGTTCACTCGCAGAGTATTTTAACGCTTTTTGTGCTTTAAATGTGCAGTCATAAGTATTTTGTATTTAACTAATTTGCAATGAGCACCTCACCTGGCAATCAAACTCCAAACTAATAGCGAAAAATATATAACAGCTCCTGATCGGTTCGGTTTCTTCTCTATCAATGAGGTTGCCAATTCCAAATTTGTTTGTTATTCAAAACTACTTTTCATGTTTATATCCTTTACTGCCAAATTTGTAAAATGGAATCGTTGGCCGAGTAATCACATCTTACATTAGCGAGTGGTCATTCAAAAACATCCCAAGTTTGCAGCAAACTCAAACATTTCCCTCGCTTGAGGTAAGGTATTATTAATTTCTTTTCCTTCAAATATTTTGCGCAGTCCATGATCTCAAAATATGTTTCTTATAATTGATCAAATAACATTCATGGCTGGTTGTTCCCTTTTGGGTTTTGCACCCAGGGTATTCGTAGCTGTTGCTGAATTAAAGTCAAAG